CATAATATTATTATGTATGCACCTAAATTTATATTTAACTTTTAACTGTCTTGATCTAGTGGCAGGTACAGCTGTAGATCTGAAAGTCACGAATTCGAGTCCCGGGTCGTGCCAAGTTTAGGCAGAGCTTTTCTGTTAAGAAATGTTCAATAACATTCATGAGTTGGGAAGTTGCCGGTGTTGCACCCTTGAACATCGGAAAGCACATGAAATCATTGACTCTCGCCTGATTTCTCACCGGTTGTTTCAAACCCTCATCTCACCGGAGTATGAGAATGACAGGTATAGTTAGTGCCCCCCCCCCCCCAACGTGCGTTCAATTTGTCGTGGTGGGAGGGCTCAGTAGTGCCCGGCAATACAGCCGGGCGCGAAGCCAAGAAACGCACAGGAAAGTGGCCCACTTCGGTGGGCGGTGGGAGGCGGCCCTCTTCGAAGGGGGGTTTACCATGCGGGTTGCTCCTGGTACTTCTCTGATAGCAGAGTGCACCTTGGAGCAACCCCGTGGTTGTTGTGGTATGCTTCGGCATCGGTTCTGCCGTCGGGGCGTCGTAGTTGAATGCGTAAGCGATCCTGCAACGCCCCATTAAGACGGGGGAAGGCTTTGTTGGGTTTTAGTGGGTAGTACTGGCTTTGCCGGTGAGTCCCACACCTCGTGCGTAAATGCATTTCCCAACGTTAAAAAAAAAAGGTATAGTTAGTTCACTTGTGTTGCGTATATACTTGCTCTACATCTCCTGCGTATTTGGCTAGTCTCAGTGAGACTGGCTGCCGTGGCCGAAATTAGTCAGGTGGATATTATTATTACGTTTATATTATGCACCACGATTTTATTGACTGTAACTTCCCTCGAAAACAAACATACAAAGTAACTTTGTGTTAATTCAATATATAAACCACTTATTAAAAATACTGTAATTCATTATGTTGGAAAAGTTAAAAATATAGTATCTAAATTCTGAAGGAAAACTGAGATTAAAATTTGGTAATAGCAGTCTTGGTAACGGAATTTAATTTCAGAAAAACGGGAATAAATGTTATCCATATCATTTCGATTTTTGATACCCTTTCACTTTCCGATACAAGTCGTCAGTTTCCACGAAACTCTGGGTATAAAAGATGATACTCTTGAATCGTTAACGAAAAGAAACCAAAAAATATATTAATAACTAGCGACTCACCCTCTCTTCAAAAATGTACAAATCTATACATATAATAAAATTGTGACTAAGCTGAATCTGTTCATTAAATATTTTTTGGAAAATCTTATTAAAATAAACATTATTATCGATACAGAGGCCGAATATATAGTTTTTAGAATTTTTGTCTGTCTGTCTGTCTGTTACCGCATCACAGAAAAACCACTGGATGGATTTTGATGAAACTTTTTACCGCGGGAAAGTATCTCATTTCTGAGACAAAATAGAAAAACTGCAATGTAAGAGTATCAGTACTAATATGTAAAACCTAAGAATTTGGTTTTTGGTCATCTGAACGCATCTGACTTCATTGTATAACATGTAATGATAAGTTTTACATTCATGTCATGTGACGATTATTTTTCTACGTATATTCTAAGTCCTGATTAAGAAAAATGATTTAATGAAGTTTTGCCGAGATTAACTTTTAGGTACTGTTAAGTTCGAAAGTGAATTCATATAATCCACTCATAAGAAAACCATATTTACATAAACGAGAATCAAAGGGTAAAAAAAGATTAGGTAAAGGTTTCTATAGCCTTTATTGAGAACGATATAAATGTAATTATGAGGTGGCCTCAAAATTATATTAATAAAACTCATCACAAGAAATAAGTTTAAGATGATAAAACTCTATATTAAACGCGTAAATAGTAAAAAATACTAAGTTAATTTAAATAATATTCATGGAAACTTGTAAAGACTAGGCAGTGGTAGTCTCGCGCCTTTGGTATTTTCATGTGCCAATCATTTCCAACATGATTACCATTTGCCTTATGGTGAAGAAAACATCGTGAGGAAACGTGCATGTCTGAGAAAATCTAGCAAGTTTTGAACATGTGAAGTTCGCCAACCCGCACTTGGCCAGCGTGGTGGACTATGGCATGATACCCCTCGTATTGAAGGGTGACCTGTGCCCAGCAGTGGGATGTTAAAAAAGGACTGAATAAAACTAGTGAGGTCGCGGAAAATATATAGTTTAGAAACATTAACAGCTAAAACTGCTTGTAAAACAGAAAGGTAATGGATTGATGTTAAAACACACTCGAGTAGGCAAACAGACAATTACTAAATGGAGACGAGTTAAGCTGTCCCCACTTTATAACAAAGTTACGGGGCTCGGGCGGCCAATTAATTTTGTTTCATGTTCTGTTTTAGATGTTAATATCTCGTTCGAGATTGCGAAATATTCTGTTATGACTTTGAAGTAACTTATATAAGTGATAATTGTTTGTTTTTATATTGTTTTACACTAGCTTTTACTCGCTGCTTCACACGTATAGACGGGATGAAGATCGAAAGAAGCTTACACCAGTCCTAGGTGTACTCTATATCCTTGCCACATATTATCAAAATATGTTCAGTGGTATAAGCATCAAAATGTAACAAACAGACAAACAGAAGTTCATTTACATTTATTATATATAATAAGTATGAATAAAATAAATCACATTTATTCTTTAGTTGGTGTCGTAGATACTTTTAAACTGAAAAGGGTACACCGACTTAAAATCACTTGTAAAGTAGGTCAACTCAGAAGTATATTTTTTTTAAATAATTATATATGATCTAGCATAATTTTAATACACACAAAAACAATACCCGATGTGAATGCTATTTTTTTTTTGAAGTCGGTCAAAAATTAAATATATCAGAACGTCATATATAGATATATCAATATAAATGTATCTCTTAACGATAAAATAAAAAAATATATACATATACAACATCGTATTAATAATATTATAAATGTGAAAGTGTGTTTGTTTGTTTTTTTGTTTGTCCTTCTTTCACGTTGAAACAGAGTAACAGATTGGCGTGATTTTTTGTGTGAGGATAGTTGGAGGGCTGGAAAGTGACATAGGCTATTTTTTATCGCGGGAGATTACTTAATTCCTACGGGAAAACACGTTATAATACAATCCAAAAAAATATTTATTATCAGAATAATTGAAACTTGGTATATATACTCTTCAATAAAATTAAATAAATATATGTCTTAGCATTTTTCAAAATTCATCCTATAAGAGAGTAAAATACGGGGTGAAAGTTTGTATGAAACAACCTTTTTAAAGTTTTTTTTGTAGTTTTAGCGCGAGCGAAGCCGCGGGTTCTGCTAGTATTATATATATTACAATATGTACTTAGAAGTAAATGTAATATTTAAGTAATATAGCGAAATCTTTTTTCAAACTTCACAAGCAGACACGACTGCCAATCTCGTTGAAACTAATCATCTACAGAGGATATTGTAGTGCATAAAATATATAGAAAATGGAACAAAATCAAATGCACTCTCTATTCCTTTTATCCTCAAAGTCCGGTAGGATGACAATTTGACATGACCGGTGAGTGGTCATATGCGAGACAGGAAATAGATTTTATATTCTCGTAAATCAAGCGAGTTAATAATAACCTATTAAATATTTAGCTTTTGTATAAAGTTACTAGAAATTATACACGTAAAAAAAAATAATTAAAAAGTATACAATAATTTTTATCTATACAGATAAATTAAATTGAAGTGTCTTTTTGTGATGTCAAAATAACAGTTTCTTACTAAATGCATATGAAATTATATGCACTATCTCCATATAAGAAAAAGACAACTTTTAAATTTTTTGTCTATCTGTTTGTCCCGGCTAATTTCCTAAGCTGCTAAACTAATTTTGATAGGACTTTCATTGGTAGATAAATTATGTTATAAGGTGTAACTTAGGCTACTTTTATTTTAAAAATTGAATTAGAGTCCGGCTCAAAAATAATTAAAATGTATCTACAAAGGCACCTGAGGGAAGCGATGGGAAGTCGCCAGTTTATAATTAAATATAGACAAAGGCAAAACAGTTCAGTATTTTTTCGCCTCTGTTCGTCAGCCGATTATCTTTTTTATTTCTTTTGTAAGTATTGACTAGCTTCATAGAGGAAGATCCCAGTGCCAGCAGACGTCAAGTATTTTCTGACGAACGAAATGTGGACGATTGGGTAGTGTTAGTATGTACTAAGATCGCATGCCTACCTGCTAGCTTAGTTAGACGGCTAATTTTCAGGTATCGGGTAATCAAGGTAAATAAAAACATTACTTACTTCACGTAAATTCTCCAAGCTTATTTTCACGGTATATTTTATACGATATCGTTAAAAATAAGACATTATTACTCCCAGACACTTTCCGTCGGCCGTATTGCTTTGCAGACGCTTTAAAGCTCCCTAAATAATTTCTTTACTTTACGTAAATTCTGAAGCTCCATTTTTATAAATGTTCACCAGACAACTATTCTAAAACTTTTTACAAGAAGACAGACTGGTCCAAGGGGCCAATCATCCCCTAAACTTAATTTTAATGCCTCTGTGGGTAGGAGAGCGAGGGCATTATCCACGCGCACGAGATTGTGTGACATGTATTAGCATATTATATTGACCGCTCTCTCTCTCTCTCTCTCTCTCTCTCTCTATCTATCTCCCTCTCTCTCTCTCTCTCTTACAGTTAATTGTTTATATTAATTAATTTTTAATATTTAAAAAATCAGCTAAAAAATAAAAAAAAAACAGGTAAACAATTAAAGATCGACTTGTAAAAAAGTGCTTATCTGACTACAATAATTCTAGAATTTTACCCTGCAAGTTGTTCTAATAAAATCGAGTAAACTTCTTTTTTTTAATGAAATGTCAAACACTCAACAGTGTTAACAAAATTAAATAACAGCTATTTTTTTCAATTTATTAATTTTATTGAAAATTAATCTTACAAAAAACAAAGTAGAAAAATATTAATCCCTCATCATTTCTAAGTAGTGGCTTCTAATCTTCAGTGTCATCGTCGTTGAAATTAGACAATTCATCATCGAGCCAATTTTGATATTGAATATCTAAATCGTAATTCTCATCATCAGCATTATCCTTATTTTCTTCCACTGTAAAAACAAGTCAAACAATGAAGATCTGAAAAAACTAAAGAGACACAAAAAATATGATAAACGAAAATAAATTACTTGATTGTTCTTCCAGCGACTCACTGACAAAACCCGGTAATTGATCTCCATGGAACCAATGGAAATCATATTTACCATCTTCTTTTTTTTATAGAATTTATATTTTATTAGAATTGTATTATAAAATTAAATATTCGATGTCGAAAAGAACTTCTAGAGAGAATTACATAAATTCAAGTACAGTCCGTTCTGGGCAGCCTTTAAGCGTCCGTGGCTGTCCGCACTTTGTACATTGTTACCGGTTTTCTCAAGTAGGGTCCGGACCTCATTATTTTTTAAGCAAAGCATCTGCAACGCAGCGGTTTCGTTGTTTGCAAGTGGTTGAGTTCTTTTTGATCAAATCTTCTATTGTAAAGATGAGAATTAAATATGCCAAACGTTCACCTTCATGAAATTTTAAATCTAAGTGCATATAGTACGGCTATCTGTTAATTTAATTTTATCGTACTGTAAAATGACTCCAAGAATGCTTTTGACTATAATGTATATAATAAGTATTTTATTTTAAGTGAAATTTTACAAATAATTGACGCATAGACGTACATTTTATTTTCATTTCTACATATTATGATTTTAAAAGCACTTTTACTTATTAACAATTATTAATTAGCATTGTTATTATTACAAATTATAGCAATATTATTTTGTAATATACTACTGACACCCTCGCTTCGCTCGGGTTCGTCCCTAAGTTGCTTTCCATTACAAACTTTCATCCCCATTTTCACCCGTTACGGGATGACTTCCGAAATAAAGACTATCCTATGTCCTTCACAGAGTCTCAAACTATCTTCTTACCAAATTTCATCTAAATCGGTATTGTACCTTTGAGTTTATTCGTTACAAACATACAAATCTTTCCTCTTTATAATAGTAGTGTAGATTTACTCGTATGCAGCTAAATGTTCTTTTATTCCATTCTTCTTCTCAGATTCTTTAAGACCCGAGTGATATACGCTGCCATTTGTCCTGTTACATTGAGCTTCCTTAGAATGTTGATCTGTCATATCACAAGATGTACCCTTGGAATTGGTCAGACCTTGTAGACAAACCCATACAGACATAACAAAAAGGGATATGTAATTTTTTACCATTATAATAAAACAAAATAATTCACAGCGATCTTTATTGCGTAAAATAATGTGACTTGTATTGCTTTCTATGCCGAGGGCAAAGGATTTGACCTTTGATTGGGGCAAAGATTTATTTACATATTCATGACTCCCACAACGTTTTAGGTAGTAAATTGAAATGCTGGATTATAATATTTTTTGTACTCTCCAGATTTTTTCTACATATTAATAAAATACTTTTTATGGTGAACTTAAAACTGGTAAATACAGTCGTTATTAATAACTATATCACTTTCCTTTAAAAATATAAAGCAATAAAATTTATTTTCTATTGACCATAAAACTAGGAGTTGTCAATAAAATCCTACAATTTATGCAATAAGAAAGGAAATTAAGTAAATTTTAATTTAGTATAAGTCGGATATTGTTGTATCAAGAATTTCTTTATAAAGTTCAAAGCTCGGATTCCAATCAGGCCACTATCTATACAGACTAACAAAAGAATAAAAATCACTGTAGACGAGAAAAATGATCCCGATAGAAGATGCAATTCTTATTTAAAAGAACGCCTCAGGGTAGAAGTGTCGGTTAAATTATGTAGCGGAATAAACTGTATAGAACAAAAGGCCTGAGAACCGTTCAGTGATGAACGATTTGAACTGAGGTTATGATTTATAGATTTTTTTTGTGTTTAGTTTTTACTTAATTATAAGGTTTATTATTATCACGTTACTTTTGTAAAGTCAAAAGTTGATTTGTGTGTTTGTGTGTGTGTGTGTGTATATATGTGTGTGTGCGTGTGTGTGTGTGTGTGTGTGTGTGTGTGTGTGTGTGTGTGTGTGTGTGTGTGTGTGTGTGTGTGTGTGTGTGTGTGTGTGTGTGTGTGTGTGCGTGCGTGTGTACGTTACACTTTTAGATCGAAACGTCGGGATAGACTTTTATGACATTTTGTATTGTATTCAGCTCTTTTTAACGTCCCAACATGCGGTTTGAGGGACTGAACATGTCTTTCCAAAATTTGCTAGGTTCTCTCAGAGATACAAGTTTCCTCACCAGTTTTCCTTCACCATAAGGCAAGTAGTTATTATGTTGAAAATGATTCGCACATGACAATATCAGAGGTGCGAGACAAGCGATTTGAACCCGATTCACTCAGTTTCCTAAGCGAGCGCGTTATCACTACCTAGATGACAACGTATGACAACACATAGGCATAAAATTTGCCAAGGGGTGACGCTGTCTGATAGAATATTATAAATACTAAAGGTACCTAGGGACGCAACTTGTAAGTTACTATTTATATATATGAGGGACTCAATTCGTGTGTAAATTTTATATGCCTATGTCAATTTAATGATATTTTTGATGTTTTGGTTGTTATTCAAAGGTTCATACAAATACGATAAAATCCACCCTAAGTGATAAAATAATAACTTTTTAAAAAACAACATACAACAATAAAACAAACAACATTACTACTAGATAAATTTAATAAAGTTAATTTTTCCTGGGCGCATACAATAGCAAATTAATTGGACTTCTATTGATATATCTTATACGTTTGACCTAATAATCGAAAAAGTACCCCGACGACCGAATTTCGCTCAGCATTTTTCGAAAAATATATGAAAATTTGTTTGTTTTCGGAAAATACACATACATACATGTATATTCGAAAAGCTAAACCTTATCTTAGGAAGGAAGTTTCTATTAAAATCTATAAGCTTCATTTTTTTTAATTCTTGAGATAAGTATTTCATGTTAAATAGTGTTTCGTATACACTTACTAGAATCAAATATTTGTGCTAATTATTTTTATAAACACTGAACCTGCGACTCCTTCTAAAGTAGGTTTTTATCTATTTTCTATTGCACCACAGCGGTTGTCATACTAAAAATCTAATAACTAAAAACATCTCTAAATGCGTCATTTTTAGGGTTTAGATTGAGGACAAAATGTTGCGAGGTCGTGTCGTAGAATTAATGAGGCAATTTGTCTGCGGGTACATTGAAGGTATCAGGTATTCAAATTGAAAAGAATTCAACGCGGTGTATAAAACAGTTAAGTTAAATTTGAAGTTGATTATACTTCATTTAAGTTTGAGATACTGTATTTGTGAACTCTTCCTTGTGAAATAGATAAAGTAATATAGTGACTTTTTACTCTAAAGGCTAACTCTGATATAATAATAATTTAGCAGATTTTTAACATCCCATGGCTAAGCACAGAGCTCCACCCAATGCAAATGAGATTGGTCAAGTACGAATAGATATGAACATATGTATGTATATACAGGATTAAACGTTTCAAAAAGCGTGTAAATGTTTGTTTTTAATTACTGTATAGAAAAATCTGTTTTTTTATAATTCACTGTGGAGTTTATTGTCTTAACCTCTTTAAAACTCTTAATAATAAGTAAAATAAGTAAATATGTTGTGACATTAACACACATCACCATATAGTTCCATAGTTAGCTACGAGGTTTGTGTTATGAATACCAGATAGTTGATACACTACACATATATAATTTTAAGTACATACATAATATAAATATAAACACCCATGACTGAAGTACAAACATTCGTGCTCATCACACAAATGAATGCCCCCAGCGGGACTCGAACCCGCGACCTCTGGTACAGAAAGCAGGGTCACTACAAACTGAGCCAAACATATCGTCATTATTATATATGTTAAATATATTTGATTTACTTATTAAACAATTATCTTTATTTCGTGTTGAAGTCGTTCAGTTTTGAAGACTACGGCCAATGATTATGTCATGGTGATAACGAAAAATTTAATATATTTTGAAGTATTTATTTCTTAATCCTTAGGCAAAATAGTGCTACTAATGTATAGAATTAAAATATAGAACTCATCAATAAGCTTTATATCTATTACTACTACATTACTATGTATAAGTACATAAGTAAATTATATTCTAGAAAAAATATAAGAAACATTCTTGAACTGAAAACCTCATTTTTTATCAGTTATAAAATAAACATTATAAAGTTTAACGTATAATAAGATACGAGAAAATCATATAAATTACTAAAAATTGCATTTCAATTGCTATCACTTTACAAACCAAACGAGGGAGCACTAATGTGCTCTAGAAACAAGATTTACTGTCTTTTTCTCTCCACAAAAGTTGCTATAAGAGTAAAAGAGAAACAAAATGCTATGAAAATCACATTAAGTTTCATCGTCAACACTCGCGGTCACGATCTGCAAAATATTATTAAGGAGAAGCTTATGATTACGATTGGGTCGTAAAATGCAAGCTAACACTAACCACTCAATTATATTACCTAATGTTCATAGTTCATACCTACATACATACTCGTACATGTATGTATGTATTCAGCCCTTTTTAACGTCCCACTGCTGGGCACGGGCCTCCTTTCAATACGAGGGAGATCAGGCCACGGTCCACCACACCAAGTGCGGGTTCTCTCAGAAATGCAGTTTTCCTCACGATGTTTTCTTTCACCGTAAGGCAAGTGGTAATCGTGTTAGAAATGAGTCGCACATGAAAATATCAGAGATGCGAGACCCGGGATTTGAACCCGCTTCACTCGATTTCCCAAGCCAGAGCGTTACCACTAGGCTACCACAGCCTACATACCTACATAGTACATATACACATTATACATAATATATAAACTTTCTAGTATATTTGTTTCTAGACCAGATAATGATCTAAAATATTGTAAGGATTTTTAAATACATATAGAGGTTAAAAGCTAATCTATCCCTGAATTTAATTAGCTTTTTTTGCATATGGACATAATCGCAGATAAAAATTAGTAATCTAATATATAAAATTTCCATGTCACAATGTTAGTTACCGTACTCCTCCGAAACGGCTTTACCGATTTTTACCAAATTTTATATGCGTATTCAGTAGGTCTGAGAATCGGCTACTATCTATTTTCCATAGCCCTAAGTGATAAGGGTGGCCCACGTTAGGGACAAACCCGAGCGAAGCGAGGGTGAGTCACTAGTAATTTATATATTCCAAAATGGTAAAAAGTCAAAATGTAAGAGACATTTCATTTTATTTTATTTTTGTCAGATGTTTCATGAAAATTCCAATTTATTTTCTGAAAGACAGTAAAATATAAAAGTATCCAAGTAAAAGTTAAATAAAATATACTCGTACATTATAAGATTTTTGATTAAAAAAGGTAAATAACATGTGTTTTTATTGTCTAATTATTATTTCTAGCAAACAATCACAAAAATATATAAAGCACATAAATTCCCAGATACCAGAAACAGAATCCTTTGTGACACAGATTCTAAAGATAAATAAAAACTTTACGTAACTTAATTATCATAACAATGTTAGTCTACAGCAACATATTCGAAGCGAGTTACATGAAATTTAATAAAAGGAGTACCACATTACTCAAGCTTGAATCGATATATTTGTTTGGAACAGGACCGTAGATTCTATTACGAGGCAATAAATATCACGAAAGCCCCCAAATAAAACATATAAGTTATGTATATATGTATATAATATCTGTACGCAGTACAATTTTTATCTGTGGTTTTGAATTATCAATTTTCATATTGTGTAGATTATAATATAATAGTTATCTCATCACCAGCAAAGGACCTACAGACTGTCATTTTTACAATTTTAGTGTTTATTTTCGACCACCTTCCAAAGGAGCTTTAATTAAGGAGGAGGTCCTTAATTACTTCTTTTCCATTGTTTTTATTGTACGTATATAGCTATTTTTAGCTGCTGTGCACTGTGGAAGCCTCCCTTTAATATAAGGGGGTTCAGGCCATAGTCTACTACGCTGGCCAAGTGTGGGTTGGCGGATTGCACATGTTTTTTTTTTCTTACAATGTTTTCTCTCTTTTAATTGTAGATTTTTGTGTATATTTTACGATATTTTTGACATTTACCAACTGATTTTTGTTACCGCTTTTTATTAAATAAGTACAACCTCAATGAATGGATGAACCGTAAAAAGGGTTAAATTTTACTTTTAAT